TTTTCAAGGATAATTGAAATGTTTCAATTTAAACATTTTAGTTGTCAAATTCTTGACGTTCAGAAATTTTCTGATTTAATAGGACCTTTTGAGTCCTGTGGTTTTGATGCAGGTTTGCTTTTCTGGAACCACCATTCTCTTCACTCTGCCTTTGTATGACTTTATCTGGTTTTCTCCCCACGTTAGCATTCTGACCCAGGTACCGGCACCCTGACCTATCCCACATGACGTCCACAGCCCCAGTGTTCCTGAAGCAGGATTTTATTGATTGGAAATTAGTTAAATACATTTTCCCTGTTAGTCATGAGTTGGCTACATGCACAGCCGCCCTCATGCAACGGGGAGGCTTCTGGTGGTGGTGATTTGGTTGGTGTAGTTCACACCTTTTCAAGAGGAGCGCTGTCTCTCCCCAGAGGGTGAAGTCTTGTATTCTTATGTATGAAGCACAGATACAGAAGGACACAACTGTGCGATGGAGATTTTTTGGAGGCAAAAAATGTTAGTGAGGAGGGTAATTAAGAAAAGCTCTAAAAAGGTGGTAACAAAGAGGAGGTTGATACACTGGTGCAGACACTGGGACCTACTTATGGGCGATTTAAATAAGCCAGGGCGATTAAGAAGTGTGGTTGTTTACTTAAGGTCAATGAGATTAGAAGTGATGAGAAATTCATGGCTGGAATATCGCCTGTCTCCCACTAATTAAATGGACACAAAGTCTTTTCCTCATCTTTCAGAGTAGAATAGATATGGAAATACTGTTGATTAGAAAGCTGGAGGTACTCCTCTCTAATTGACACCTGTCAGAGAACAAGTACCCTAGAATTATATTTAAATGTTTTACTGCCTCAAAGAGTGTGAGACTTGACGTTTCTATTGATTTCTTTGGTAGCCATTATTCAGTAGCAGATAGTTTAGGAAAACTGGGCCTGCCAGGAGCACATTGAGGCTCAGCGAGACTGAGCACCCACACCACCACGTGGCAATGAGGATGCTGAGGCCTGAGACCTGCCTGACTGGTGAGAGAGCCGGTGGTCAGGTGCTCAAGAATTTTGCAAGCCAGCTATGGTGAGGACATGGGGCCGGTGGTCAGCAAGTATGCTGAGTCTGTTGTTGAGGGGTTTTTTCCCCAGCAGGTATGAGTGGGTTGGAACCTAGGTCTTAAGAGTCCCTTAAGTCTGAGTAGCCCTGGCCATCAAACTTAGCCGTGGGACGCTGATAGAGAAGGTGAGGAATTGACATGCAAAGAAGCATAATAAAATGACTAAACATTTTGGTACATGATAACGTATTTCTGTATTTCCTTATTAATTCCTTTGAAGTAGAGTGGGAAAACTGAGAATATGAGCTCATCTTTGAAAAACCAAAAGAAGCTGTTGTTCCAGGTAGTCTGGGAAGAGAAAAACAGACTTGTCGTTTTCATAGAAACAATACATATAGATGTATCTTGAGGGAGGGTCCTCTTCCCCTGAATCCTACACAGTGCTGCAAACCATTATTACCTTAATAATGAATTTCTTTTAAATATGAAGAGAAACTCAAAGAGAATATAGTTTATATTTCTGTTTTTTAATGCCCAAAGGGAGGCATTGCATTAGTGACGCCAGCGGTTGCCATTCCCACCGTGTGTCAGCTAGCCCAGGCGGCTTTCCCCGCCCACTCCACCCCGCCACCCTCTCTGGAAGTGCAGCTTGATGTGTGATAATCCTCTGTGACCCAGTAAGTGAAAGACTCTTGAAGTGTAATTTGAGAATATTGTAAATTTGAGTCTTGAAATAAAGTAATGGATGCAGGCGTCCATGAAGCACTTTCTGAGGCCGCACATTGCTCTTTGGTTTCCACAGTGACTTTGTAGATGTTGTCCGTAATCTCAGGCTGTGATAGTGTCTTCTAGAGTATGATGCTTACGTCTTTCTGATATACAACATTCATTCATTCGTTCCAAGCTCTACATATAGGTGGACGGGCCTCCTTGGCAGCACAGGGCTCAGAGTCTCAGCGCTATCCTCTCACAGAGACCTGTTCCTCTGGCCGACACCCCAGTTCTTGTATGCATAAGGAAATAAAAATTACAAATCACCTTTAAAAAAGGATGCCTGTGTGTGTGTGAACTTGTCCATAAAAGTGATGCACTGTTTTCCTTTCTTCAGCAAACAAACCGGATCCTCCTGCACAGCTAAAAGAATTCGTTTCAGATTTATCCTCTCAGTTTGTCCTCTCACCTCCTGCTTTAAGGACCAGGCAGAAAAACACATCTAATGCATCCAGACTTGTAGATGAACTGGTAAGAGATGCATTTTATCTGTGTGCTGACTTCTTTTAAGCAATGTTTTCTAAATAACTTCTGTAAAAAGAGCCCAGAACTGCTATGTCTGTACTTTAAGGGGTCCTATTTCAGGCAGTTCCTTGGCATGTCACTGATGATTGCTGTGTTACTGACAACCGGAGATTACGTATGAGGGGAGAGGCATGTAAATTTTAGAATCATCAGTATTGTCTAGGTGTGTGTGCTTGTTTCAAATGTAGGTCTCTGAAGCCCTGTTCATGCCACCACCTAATTGTACATGACCCTAAAAGAAAAATAGTTTAGGGATCATGAATGAAACTTTACAATGACCGACCAGGATTCATAAGCATTTCTTGAATTCTCTTCTGTGAGAATGGAGATGCTCAGTTGTTCGCAAACTGGCAAACAGCTATGTATTTTAAGTAGTTTGCATGACAAGTGAGTTTTGGAAAGGGAAAAATTGTCTCTGATAATCTGAGCCTCCTGAGGTGGTGAAATACTGGCTTTGATCAGAGGCAGCAGGAGTCAAAAGGACAGTGGACAGTATTCCAGACAGAGGCTGACCGGACCTGGGACTTGGGTGTCAGGCATCACAATGAGTGGCCCCAAGACCCAGGGTCTCTGGTATGAAACCCAAGGGGTCTGGAGTGTTAGAACGGAAACTTTCAATTTGGAGTTTTAGATGCTTAGTTGTTTTAAGATTCTTTATTTCTTTAATCCCTTAGGAAGATACTGCTCAATCACTAGAAACCGGGGGAAAGCAAAAAGCAAAAAGAAGCAGGACTGCAAAAACAAAACAAGCGAGCAAGTATGACTTTCTGTGCTGTTAGTTTCACCCATTTTGTTCTAAAGTTAGGCCTTAGAACAGTCTCGACTTCAAAATAGATACTAAGCTCATCAGAAACTGGTTACTCAAAAAACCCTGAGTTTACTATATTGTAAAAATACTGGCTTTATTTAATGATTCACAAATTGGAACCTTCCATCTAGCATGTAGTGAGGCTCGACGAGCTGTTCCAGTGAGATCTGGAGACAGCAGCAGGGCGAGAGGATGGTCATGGCATCCAACCTCTTCCAGGCCTGACTAGGGCACTTGGCTCATCCCTACAGCCCGACAGTATTTATTAATGCACGTGAAATGTTTGGAAGAAAATCTGGCAGTGAGTATGTTTGAACATTCAAATCAAAAAGGGAAAAGCGAGACTTTAATGCTTACCTGGAATTAGCTTTTATGATTTAAAGCTTCACTTCACATCTCTTTTATAAAATATATTGGTAAACTAGTTATATTTTTATAATGCAGTGTGTTTATCCTTATTTGAATTGCTTCCCCCCCTCCCCCCAGAAACGCCGAAAAAGAAAGTTCTTGGACGCCTCCTCCAGTAGAAATTAAGTTAATTTCTCCCTTGGCAAGCCCAGTCGGTGGGGTAAAGAGCAAGCCAAGAAAAACTACAGAAGTAACAGGGAAAGCTGTCGGGAGGAGCAGAAAGAAGCCGTCTTCCTTTCCAAAGCAAGTTTTACGCAGAAAAATGCTGTAATTTTTTTAAAAAAAAATTTTTAATGTACACCTATTTGTAAAGTCATCAGAATTGTGTGGGTTATTAAAAATCATCTAATTTGGAAGAAAGTAATTTATATAAATTATTGTAAATTTTTGTAAACAGAAAGTCTTCAATAAGTAAAATAACTCCATATGGGGTGTGATTCTTTTAGTCCAGGCAGTTTTTTTCTATTTTATAATAAGACTTCATACATTTATATAATATGTAAATATGGCCTATTATCGGAATGTTAAATAAAGTGTATACTTCACAGTTTGTGTCTGTTAGATTTTTGTGAGGGGATTTCTGTTTTAAAAATGATTTTATATGCCAGTAGGCACTGGTACCATTTTCTTTATCTACAGTTTAAATGGGATGATTAAGCTGTTGAGTTTTTAAGTTGCTATTTCGTATTTTATGCACTTTGCTTCTGTGATTAAGATTTCTAATCAAAAAATGTATTATTTCTTTTGGCTGTTGCTGTGTTGAAATTGAATTTTATAGGCATGTTATTTTGCCACTTTTTTGTAGTTTAACAAATTTTATGTATTCTACCTCAGATGAGTAATTTTCCAGGTAATGCATTCATTAACTGTAATGCTGGCATTTCTCATTCAGCAAGCGTAAAGGCTCTTTGTTTTGAAAGTCTCTTAAGTATCCAGAGACTAACTATCCAGGTTAGACTGACCGGTTCACTGCTCACTGGCAACTTTATAGAAGAGAGGAAAGGGGCATTCCAGACAGACCTGTCGCGTGACTGTTCGGTGTACCATGTGTGTGCCTGGCACTGACCCTGTCTTGCTGTGGAGGAGCTGGCTTTGATCACAGGCGTCCCTTTACTGTTCAGGTTTTCAGACTGCCGTTTTCAGAGCACCTCAGGCACAGACGATTGAGGGGGTGGGGGGAGGGAAGAGAGTGATTGAGTCTTGGGGAAAGGGAAAAAAACACTGTTCTCTGCAGTGTGGCTGTACAATTACGTGATGATGCTTATCCAGGTCATCAATAAGTAAGTGTTGTAAAATAATTTATAACCAGTAATTGATAGTGTGTAATGAGGGACCATTATTAATAATTGATCGTTGGAAACAAACTGCTCTTGTTGACTGAGCTTTTTATGTGTTCGTGTGAGGCATAAACTGTGCTTTCTACATTATTTTTCTACCAAATAATAACACAAATAATGGGGAAATGCTGAAGACGCCTGCGCCGAGTGTGGACAGAGTGAAGGTGGCGGTCCGAGTCCGGCCTTTTAGCCAGGTTGGTGACGGCATGCGCCCGGGCCGAGTTTGCCTATGAGTTTGATCTTATTAACTTTTTTAATGATAGTAAAAAACTTGTATTTAAGCTGCTTGTCATTTATGGAATATTAAACTTATTTCAGTGAATTTGTTCAATAAGATCTAAATATAACTCAGTGAACAGTTAATTTCAACCCTTTGCACAAGTAGCTCAATAAAAACATTGCCGAGAAAGATGTTCTGTCGAGTTAATAATTTGTAAACCACTGCAGTTTGGTGGAACACTGACTCATATTTATTTCCAGTGACTGCTTTTCCAACCCTTAGTAAAATTCAAACATAAGCAGCCAAATTGCCAGGTCTTAATGTACTCCATGTATTTTAAAGGCATGTGTGTGCTCATCTAATTTATCACAAAAATGTAAACTGCATTTTAGGATGGTGTGTGGGCGTTACGCTCTTTCCAGGACTTTAGAGGAAGCGTTTTATCTTTGATTATCTGTGCGTCCGTTGTATTTTAGGGTAATGGAACAATGGACCCATTTGTCAAACTTTTTACTGTCTCTTAACGCATGGAAAGCTTTACTAGAGACAGGATATAAAACTTCGCTGTCCATCAAAAGCTTACAGTTTTGTCTAAACAATTGGTAGGTCAGAGAGTAAAAATAAACACTTGGTAGAGGCTTAAACCTGTAACCCCCAAAGCAGATACAGTAATAACCTACCTCACCTCAATGAAGTAGTGTGGGGAAAAAGCCGTCAGTGCATGCCATCGTAAGTGGCTTTGTTTATCAGATTGCTAAAAAGAAATCTTAAGAGACTTGGGATCAGGAAATTACATATTTTGAACAAACAGAATTGGAATACTTTATAGTCTAATCTATTGACACCCTTTAAAGTAGTTATTTCAGGGGTATTTTCCACTGGCCTTTAAGTATGGCGAGAGTTGACGAGGCTGTAGCTGAGCCGCCACTGGGCTGCTGTTTCTCTGTGGCCCCTACGCACCTGCAGCTCCGCAAAAAAACTTCCTTTAGGTGCTTTGGCGTAACCACAAACAAAAGCTGAGCCAGGAGAAAGGGTGAATTTGTGTTCTCTGAGGGGAGAGGTATGACTCACACCTGAACAAATGTAACACCTCCTAGGTGACACAGAACCTGCCTAATTTTTAAATTGTAGTTTATTTTTGCATCATTTTGTGCCTTTTTCCATCTTAGTTGAATCCCTGTGGGCTTCCCATCACCAGTTCACCCTTGCGCCATCACCATAGTCCCATGCATTTTCCCTACTCCCCCGTTCTTTGACCCCATTCCCCACTCCACCCCATAACATGTAGTTGTTCGTTATTATTATATTCCCCTGGTCCTTTATGCTCCTGCTATGAGTGAAACCATCCGGTATTTTTCTTTTGATTTCTGCTTTTTTCAGTAAGCATGATCCCTTCCAACTCCATCCAAAAGTTGCTGCAAAAGGTGTGGGTCTATCTTTTGATCGCTGAGTGATATTCCATTGTGTATATGTACCACATCTTTTTAATCCAGTCATCCATTTTGGGGCATTTGGGTTGATTCCATGTCTTTGCTATTGTAAATAAAGCAGCAATAAACATGGGGGTGCAGGTGTCTTTTTGTATGAGGGTTTTTGTGTCTTTTGGGTAGATACCTAGGAGTGGGATTGCTGGGTCGTAGGGAAGCTCCATTTTAGCAGTTTGAGAAACCTCCAGTTTTCCATAGTGGTTGTACTGGTTTGCTTTCCCACCAGGAACCTGCCTAATTTTTAAATTATAGAACCAGTCTTTTTCTTCCCTAGGTGCATCCATCACCTAAATCTTAGTGCATTTTTATCAGCTCCCTGAAGAATGTGCCCTGGGAGTGTCCTCTTTTGCCCTGATTCTAAAGTTCTGAGTTCACTTGGGAAGACAAGAGCACTGTGGCTGGGTGAGGGAGCAGCATGACTTCCAAAATACAGCCCCCATTAGGGTGGTTTAATGTTAACAGGGGTGCTTCCAATAACACTCTGCATATAAAAGATTTTGGGTGCCGGTTTGCTGTTAGGTTCATTTGCAGAAGCTTTCAGTGGTTGCTTCTAAGTTATTCTTAATTTTCAGGCTATACCCTGGGGAGGATGACATTGTCATGCTGGCAGTGGGTATTTCTGCTGCTGTAGACAGTGTGAAGGAGTATAGGAGCAACTAACTGCTTGTCATAATAGCTGCTGTGGGTAATGTAGTTAGGGAACAAGGTGATGAACAGTAAGTTCCTGACTTAATAGAATTTTTGCAAAACGACACGCATAACAAAAACTTGAATGACTGACTGAATTTGTGATTTGACTGTAGAGAGAGAAGAATTCTGGGAGCAAATGTGTGATTTCCATGCATTCCAGAACCACTACCACTATCCAAGACCCTAAAAATCCAGAACACATGAAGACGTTTACTTTTGACCTGGCATATTGGTCTCACGATGGCTTTCAAAGGGATAAAGATGGTGTGTTTATTTCGTCGGATCCTAGCAGTGCATTTGCAGGCCAGGTAAACTGCATTTGACTTATGTAAACTTTTTAAAATTGAAGTGTTCACTGTAACCGCGCAATAACTGTTGTGGCAAACAATGTTTGGTTTTTAAGTTATTTCCTCAAGATAAGCATGAGGTCCAAAAATACAGTTACCACCTAAATAATTTCTAGGTTGTCAGATCACTTGGTTTTCTAATTTTGAAAAAGGGATTTTATCTCAATTTTACTTTGTTTATAAGCAAAATCAGCAAAACGTGACATAGCATTTGAGATCTTTTGTTGTATTGCGTATAAATAGCAGATCCTTGAAACCACTCACAATTGGTAAAGGGAGACAAAGCATTCAAGTGTTCCAGGTTCTGTGCCAAGAGCAGCCTGAGATACAAGAGGGCTCAGAGTACAAGTGGTTGTTCAAAGTGGGCAGCTCGTTAGCTGACCTGGGCCTGTGGCCTGAGTTTCCATCAAGGGGCCCTCGCTGGTGGCGCAGGGGTCAGAGCACAGCACTATGAAGCTACTGCAGCCGCTACAGCATGAGTTCGATCCCTGGTCAGGGTGTGACCCACAGGGCTCAGCTGACCCCTCCTGACCCGCCCGCTGCTCCCCTCAGCAGTGGACTTCGTCAGTCGGCCTGTTCTGCTCCCCGCTCTGTCTCTGGTGAAGCCTCTCGTCACCCCTGAGCCTCTGGTCTGTACCCCAGTTCTGTATGAACAAATAAAACTAAAAAAAAACACTGTCAAATTGTTCTGACTCAACACACTACAGGGTCCTCCCAGGCCCTGGAATGTACTTTGAGGAACACTGTCCTAGAATAAAGAAAGTCAAACAAGTGTCATTAGTAAATCAGTTACAAGGAAGTGGAATTATGAAAATGCAAAACATGGCAGCTACTGGGAATTTAAAAAGGAGAGATGACAGAAATGGACGGTAGGTTTAATGCCAGCTGTATTATATCAGAAGAAAAACATTCCAATTAAAAGGCAGAGGTGATGTCAGATTAGATGGGGAAACTGGGATCTAACTACATAAACCCGACTTAAATACAAATAAAAAGATACCTACTACATAAACACTAAGAAAAAGGAAACCGTAGTGGCTACAGTCACACGAAGTAGATTTGAGGACCAGGAGTGATCAGCTCAAAAAGGGAGCGGCCTGAGTATGCATCTAATAACAGCACTGCAGCTGTCTGAAGGAGAAATGAACAAACGGAGGAAGAAATGGACAAATCTACAATTGTGATTTTTTCCCCCTCATTCTGAGGGCTGAGGAGACGGAGTCAGTAATGGGACCGAAGGTCATTGCACCCCTGTAACTGTACTACCCCAATGGGGACTATTTTGGAACAGTCTCGCTGCTCCCTCGCCCAGCCACAGTGCTCCACAGTCTTCCCAAGCGAACTCGGAACTTTCATTGCGATAAACTGTTCTGGAGCCTCATATAGGGCCAGCGAGTGCAAGAAAATGGAAATCATCCCAAGCAGGCGCGCTCTGACCACAGTGGGATTCAACTAAAAGAAAAGCCAAAGATACTCGGAAAATCCACAAGTGATTAGAAAATAGCAGATGTGTAAATAATCCACAGGTCAAGGAATAAAGCGCAGGGAAATCGGCTATTGCTTTGAACTGGACGAAAAGCAAAATCTCGGATAGAGCCAGGCAGGCACTACGAGGCGTTAGAGCACGGAATGTTTCTCCTAAAGAACCATCTCACGACATTGTAGGCTTCCACAGGAGTTTCTGATACAAAACAGAGAAAGGAAAAAAGGAACATAGGATCAGTAGTGGATGTAAAATAATAGAGAAAAAAACAATAAAACCAAAAGTTGGTTCTTTGGAAAAGTTGTTCTCATTGATAAACTTTTAGTGATCTGATGGGGGGGGGGGGGAGTGCCAGGATGAGAAATGAAGACAGGTATTAGAGCTAAAAATAACTGTCAGGGAATATTGTGAGCAATTTAATGTCCATAAACGCAACATAAACGAAATGGACAAAACTGCAGATCTATGCGGCTCCGGCCCCGAGAGGAGCTGCCGCCCTGGCCAACGGCCCGCCCGCCTCCTCGCGAGGGACAAGCCGAGGGACTCGAAGCCTACAGTCTCCGCTCGCTCGCAGCATCTCGCTGCAACAGGTGACGCGCGCGAGCCGGGCCGAGGGCAGGGCGCAGGCCCGGTGGTCGTGACGTGGCGAGCGAGCGAAAGCTGCACCCGCAGGCTGCGGCCGTGACCCGCAAGAACAAGTGTGGCCCCTCTGACATGGCCGCCGCTGGGGCCGGTGCAGCCGAGGCTGCCAGGAGCCCCCCAAGGGCAGCTGAGTGCGCCCTCCGGCCCAGGTAACGAAGGAGTCAGCCCACTCCCACTCCACACACAGACAAAACACGAACCGACAGCGCAGGGAGCCCTTCCTCTGTCCGAAAGCCTCTATCTAGTTAACACCTCACAAAGGAAACCCCAGCCTTCCCTGGCGCCCCCAGGGATGGCATGGCCTTGCCAACGCCTGGACTTGACGTGTAGCCTCCAGAACTACGAGAGAATAATTTTTTAAGGTTCATTTATTTGTACATACAGAACTGGGGTACAGGTCAGAGGCTCAGGGACGGTGAGAGGATTCCCCAGAGACAGAGCGGGGAGCAGAACAGGCAGATCGACGAAGTCCACTGCTGAGGGGAGCAGCGGGCGGTCAGGAGAGGGCTGCCGCGCCCTGTGGTCACCTCCAGGCGGGGATCGAACTCGCGCTGAAGCGACTTTAGCTTCTTAGTGCTGGGCCTTACCCCGCTGCACCCCCAGGGGGCACCAAGATATGTTCGATTTTAAGAGTGTTGTGAGATACCGGTGCTGAACGTGACGCCTGTGATCTTCCAGGGAGAGATTTTCCAGGACCTCGGCAGAGGGATTCTGGACAGTGCGTGGCAAGGCTACAACGCTACTCTGCTGGCCTACGGCCAGACGGGCTCCGGCAAGAGCTACTCCATGCTCGGGTTTGGCGCGAACAAGGGGATCATCCCTAACGTGTGTGAAGAGCTCTTTCGAGTGACTGGGAACCGGGCGCGAGACCGAGAGTACCAGGGATGTGTCATTCCAGAGGACTTCTTGCTTTTCCAGATAACACTGATTTGCACCACTGTACATGTTTGAGAATTCGCTCGCCACACCACACCCACCACCACAGTAGCGCCACCCTGCGCCTTCGTCCAGGAGGTGGGCTACGTCCATCTTCCTCTCCCAGCCCCACGGATAACTCTCTGGGTTCTGCGTTCGAGCACCAAGGGCTGGTTTTGTTCTGTTTGCCCCCTGCTTTGTTCATTTATACTCTACATATACTGGAATTATGCAGCATGTGTCTTTCTCCTTCTGACTTACTTCACTTCGCATAACCCCTGCAGGTCCACCCACCTGTTGCAAATAGACAGACTTCCTCCTCTGTACAGTGAGAGCAATATTACATTGTGTGTGCATCCCACAACTCCCTTACCCGCTCCCCCGTCATCGCCAAGACATTTCCATACCTTCGCTGCTGGAAGGAGAGCTGCTTTGCACACAGGATGTACCAGGGTCCTCTGAGTTCCTTTTTTCTGTTTGTTTTGATCTCTCGTGCAGGAGGCCATCCCTCCAGCAGCCACTTTTTCAGCTTAAACCATGAGGCTTTCTGGAGTCAGTTGGAGTTCTGTAGACACAAGACATGTAGACATGCAGCTGACTGGCCAGACTCAGCACAGTGACGCACCGCACCAGCCTGTGCGTGGGTGGGCGCTAGTGGTGGCGAAATGCTGTACCTCAGAGCCTCTCTCTCAGTTAGAGCCATTCAGAGTCCTCCGTCTCCTGCTTAACAGGTGTAAGCTTTCTAGCAATGTCCCAGACGCATGAAGGCCAGTCTCTCTCTCTGCCTATACTCAGTGGGTGGGTGAGCAGAACAAGTACATGCACAGAGTTCATATCTGGGTTTGAACTTATGCTAAGAATTCCCTGCTGAGCATTAAAATCATCTCAGCCTCATATTGCGTGTGAAAAAGTTTTGCTGCATCTAACATTAGCACATATATGTTAATTCCCTATTGTTTCACTGTTTCAAGAGAATGTTTATGCTTTTTTTTTTTACAGGTTACATTCAGTATGCTGGAAATTTACAACGAACAGGTAAAGGTCGTTATATTTTCTGATGCACAAACCAGAGGGCCTCTCTGCTACTTAATGGACATCCAGGGCTCCCTCCTTCGCCCTGCGCTGACCGTCCAAGCTGTTCAGCCTGGCACTGACTCTGCCTGCTTTGCAGGCTCCGCTTCCCGTGACGCCCCTATGACTGCCCTGTATGCTCCACCAGAGAACTTGCATTCTCTGCTTGACCTGCCGTTTCTCGCTCCGGAATTCCTCCTGCTATATCTCTGCCCTTAATGAAACCACCAAACTTCATCGTTCCTCTAGCCACGCGGAGGCAGGTGGCCTCGGTCGCGTGTGCTGTACAAAGAATCAGGCAGCAAACATTTCAAGCTTTGGAGGTCATAAGGTCTCCTTTGCTACTACTCGACTCTATAGCATGACAGCGCCCTTAGGACGCATTAAATAAACAGATGTGGGGCCTCCCTGGTGGTGCAACGGGTTAAAGCACCGCATTGTGAAGCTCTTTGAAGCCCCTGCAGCACGAGTTCGATTCCCGGCCAGGGAGTGACCCACAGGGCGCAGCAGACCTCTCTGACCTGCCCGCGGCTCCCCTCAGCAGTGTACTCCAGTAGATCTCCCGTTCTGCTCCCCACTCTGTCTCTGGGGAGTCCGCTCACCCACCACTCCTCTGTCCTGTACCCCAGTTCTGTGTGCATAAATAAAATAAGGAATATTAATATTCCTTAATACTATTAGAGGAATAAATGTCATTTTGTATCTCTTGATATCAAGGAGAGAAAATGGCCCTTTTGTTCCTTCAAGGCTCCCACGAGACATTTATTACAGTGAAGGCGGAGAGTAGATTTACGAGGGTCACTACGACGCTTCTTTTTACTCCAGGTCATGGGTTTGACTGACGGGATGACTCCTTTACGTCACAGGACAACCTCAGGAGGGCGTTCCTGCCGTTACCAACAAGCTCTTGTGGGGAAGAAGGGGAGGGTAATACCTCACAGCGCGACATGTCAGCCAAGGGTGTCCAGAGGTGCAGGGGGTGAGGGGGTGCACCAGAGACAGAGCGGGGAGCAGAACAGGCAGATGGACAAAGTCCACTGCCGAGGGGAGCAGCGGGGAGACAGGAGAGGTCTGCTGGGCCCTGCGGTCACCTCCGGGCGGGGGATGGAACTCGCACTGAAGCGGCTGCGGCCAGCGTGCAGCGCTGCACTCTGACCTGTGGCGCCACCAGGGCGCGCCCCAAAGACCTCTTTTATGTATCTAGAATAGAAGACACCGCTTGTTCACCAACAATGTGGGTGACAAAGGCATTTTCTTAAAGCCAGCCCATGACAGCCTTTGCTGGACTCCTTTACCCTTCCCGCAGACCAGGAGGAAGGCAGCCGGCACCCAGGACTCGGGGCTCCAGTCCCTGGGCTCTGCGCCCACCCCGGTACCACCTCAGGGTGTTTCCCCCGCAGCGCCCCGCTGCTACACTCTGCTGGGCGAGTTTCAAGTCTGTGGGCGCCTGCGGCTCCCTCTCC